TAAAGAAAATATATTTATATATTTTTTTTTTAATTAAAATATATATATATATATATGTAAAAAAAATATATTTTCTTTAATTTAATTTAAATGTGATAAAAACGTAAACATAATAATAATTAGAAGATTTGAAAAAAGAGACGGTTATAACATGACAACTACATAACACAAACAGTATAAATAGAAGATTTTCAAATAGAAAGAATTCAAATAGGAATTAGAAAATCTTGATTACAAACTAAAAATAGTTAAGAACGTGAATAGAGAAGTGAATGTGATAGTTATAAACTTAAATTGTCGTTTCTTTGTTCACAGAGAAACAATTTGTTGTTTATTACTATTACTTAAATATAATAGAATTATTGTCTTTTATATATAATATTTTATCTAAAATTTCTAATTATCTTTCAGAGAAAACTTCGGAAAAAAAGAAAGAAAAATCAGCGGACAGTAAAGTGCCTTTAAATAAGAAATCCTCATCCCAAACATCTTCGAAAAAAGTTGTGGATGAATCTAATACTTCTAAAAACTCTTCTATAGAAAATCAAGAAAATCGTTTAAATTGTGTGAATAATAATGATAACGATTCTAATAATGTAGACAATGATTCGCAAATTGAATGCAGAGAGAATAATGTTCAAATTGAGAAAGGTAATTTTTATAATAATATAAATATCATTTCTTATACAAACATTTTTATAAATTATTGATTTAGGTGAAATTTCTAAAAGTTTTGGAAACAACAGGCAGACTATTAAAAGTTGTAATGGTATGTATGCGTGTATATAATTTTTAATTATTCCATTTTTTTATATTATAAAGTAAAATATTTCTTTACAGTCGTACAAAAAATAGAAAATCGGAAAAAAATTAAGAAGAAGTCGAAAATAAAAGATGCTAAGAAGCCTTCATCTATATGTATAAATAATTCTGTAACAAATTTAACACCGAGCACTTTAATTTTATCAGGTGGAAAATTAGTACCCTTGGTAACACCTATGACTTCTTTAACATCCAACATAATAGTCAATACGCAACCGCAAACAGTAAATCCAATAATTCTTAGTAACGCTCAACAAAGTCAAATGATTGTTATGCAGCCTTTAACAAATCACGTACAAAATTCAGTGGTTTCTATTCGAAAGCAGGGTGTAATAAACACCATGCAAAAGGTTACTTTAAACACAGTGCCGAGTATTAGATCTAATTTGGTTGTAGATTCACAAAATTGGGCATCTAATGTTAAAAATATCATTAATTCAACACGAATAGGTGGTCATAAAGGTATTCTGCCAAAAGGGAAAGAAGTTACTAAAACAACTATGACTTATAAAGTTCCTATCCCAGCTATTCATAAAGAGAAAATAGATAAATATAAGGAAAGCTCTAATCGAAAAGAATCTGAAGGAAAATCTAAAGTTAATAAAAATGTCAAAAGTACTAAAACTACGTTGCTGGTGGAAGAAGCAACAATGGAAAAAATAGGCAAAGAGAAAAGTACACAGTGTTTTAACGATAATGTGTCTACTGAAAAAATACCATATAAACGATGTTTAAGCATCGAAAATATATCTTCTGATGAGCCAGAGGATAAAAAGCGGAAAGGAGATGATATAGATACCACAACGGTATCTAGTTCTAGTATTACAAATTTTACAGCAACATGTAAATCTATTGAAAGTTTAA